CTTATAGTACGATTGCAAACTGTTACAATTTTCAGACTTGCAATGTTCCAGGTTGCAATCGTACGATAAGCGCTCAAGAGATTCCATCGGGAAGATTGACTAGTCCGAACTTCCCCAACCCATACGATCATAATGCAACATGCACGACAAAAATTCAAGCCCCTGAAAAAAGGCGAATTCAAATTGTATTCAGGTGAGACTTTACATAATGGCCAGATTTTCGTTGTCTCTCCTCACATCCCTGAGTAGTTATATAGTGTTTTTGAGAACTTGGTCTTTTACTCGTCTCCACCTCCTCGAGTTACCGCATTTTCCAGAAACTTCGATTTTGAACGCGGACGAATCACTTTTTACCGCACAAATGCTTCCCGTCTGGCCATTTATAACTGGCGTCGACGAATATATAGGAAGAGTTGTGACTTTGATTATCTACAGGTACAAGGAAGCGCGTTACTGTAACAATTTGTCAGTTCGCCCATAACTTCTAAAATTTCGTGTCAAATCATCTATACTTCCAGATCAGGGAGCCAGGCAGAAACTCAACTGGACCAATATGTGGACGAGGTCTACCGTCATCATATTTTTCATGGGGGAATAGCGTTGAGGTAGGCGGTCAATGTCTTTCACTACAATGAATCAGTAGCCGTAGCAAACATATTTTCATTTAGAGTAGTCTTTGCCTATCAAATTTACCAGCCGTCAAAGGGGTATTTGGCATGATCAGTCCTTTTTGAGATGCGCTCCACATTCGACTTCCATTCGAATCGTAGGGTCATTATGAATGCGTTTGTGACCTATACGATGGCCACCTGATGTGCAAGTCATGCTTGTATTCTTCGAAATTGGTACTGCTTGAGTGACCCTGGAAGGGGAAAGGCGTGGTTGACCCCGATCCGGGATTCGAACCTCTGAACCATTGAAATGAATTCTGTTAGTATCCTGTTTTTAGTGAGAAGCAAAACAAAAATAGAAAATGTTGAATAGTCCTATTGCAAATTTCTTGTGATTGCTTTGTGCATGTTCAGATTTTCATGAAAACTGATCACAACATGGCAACCGAAGGATACGAGCTCAGTTATTTCACTGGAAAATGGCACGACGGTAGGCATATGAAAATGAAAGTCTCGGGAAAGGCAGATTTCTCCGTTTAGTTTGTGAAATCAATTGATTAATATTTTTTGCAGGAGGAATAATCGATTTCTCTACAGCTCATGATTCTCATGGTGCTATTACCAATATCGGTTATCCAAAGGGATACAACACTTCAACCAAAACCTCGTGAGTATCTTTTTGTGGACAAGATTGAGAAAAATGGAAAGGGAAGTAGTGGCATCACCATTCACTATTTGTACCCACGTCCACGTACGTTTCCACTACCGTCAAAACCGTGGAATAACTGCGTCCGGTGAAGATTCAAGGTCTTATCTTGGACTGATTTTAACCGGACTGTGCGAGCGCCTTTCTTGCCAGTGCTCCCTCTCCTGCGGGGTTGAAAAATCGCGGTCTCAGAGCCAGAACCTTTATCGTATCGGCGCTGTGAGCCTCGATACATGAAATTCTTGAAATTTCATTCAGATGGAGGATAATGCCACCAAATGGACACTCATGCACGCTCGACATCACTGTACTCGAATTGGCTAAAACGGTACAAGGTGTAGATTGCCTAACCCAAGGTATTTGGTATAGTGTTTTCTGGTGTCCCGAAGTCTTGAAGGCAATTCTTTTTTTTTAGATGAATATCTTGAAATCGAACAGTCATCCGGTAATCCGTCTGATCCAAGGGGTGGTACAGATTCAGTGAGAGTACGGTCATGTGCGCAGGTAAGAAAGAATTTTTTCTGAGTCAGGTAGAGTGAAGAGTCAAGGGTTCTCATTGGCCCTTGTTTCAAAAGCAAGTAGAGATTCCACTCCGAAGGCAAAAAAGAGTAGCATCCCTCGTAATCATAAAATTCCACCTTATCTGTGTCCTCCACAACTAACTACCCGGACTGAAAGAGGAAGCTTCGGGTAAAAGTGTCAAATAATAGGGCAGCTGTCTATCCCCTGCTCAAAAGTTCGACCAAAGTGAGGCTGCTATCGAGTTTATTATGGAGAGCTCTTACAGGAGACAACACGATTGGCCAGGGTACTGTTCTTGGCAGAAAGTTTCGATGTTTTCGGGTGGGATTCAATTTAGGAAATCCTAGAATTGATCTAACGAAAACAGATATGTGTAAATTTGTTACAACAAGGAGAGTCCCATACTCGAGGATTCAGGGAAGAATATTCAAGGAAATCGCCTGCTCTAACGTTTAGCACAAAAGTATATTTTGAAGAGTCGGCGTGCCAACTGAACATACTCTCCTTCTTAAAAATTATCCTTTGTTTCCGAATACACTTGAGGCCGAGAGTTCCGATAATGTCAAAAAAAAGATTGTTATAGAGTCACTTCATTTTTTTTATTTGCACTCTCACGATAACCTTTTCAGAGCGCTCCTATTGCTTTGGAAATGGAACCAGGTGTAGATCGTTACATACGGATCACCTTCAAGTCCGATGACCGAACAGATAACGACGGAACGGGCTTCCGTTTATCATGGGAGTGTGCAAACTATGATGTTCTACAGGTGTAATTGGCTACTGACTTACTTGCCATCATATGTGATTTACTGTACGTGTTCATATCCACTTGCCACATTTGATTTTGTTGATGCCACTAATGATAAATACGAAGTTTTAATTTGATTCATGAGTTTGGGTGACACTGCCTGTGTTTGTGGGGTTGTATTGCAATCAGTTCGAGTCAGCAACCGGGTCCGGGAACTTCTCCACTAACACGGCGTCGCACACGCCGCACCCGCCGCCTATCGCAGGATTGCGATGGAAGCAATTTGTGAGGTAGGGAGTCCTTTAATTATGTGAATTGGCCAGCCGCTCTTCTCAATTCGAATGCGGTCTTGATCGTCCTACATATAGGAGGAGTCACTTTAATTAATCA